TCACGTGGTGATTTTGGTACCGTTAGTACCCAGTGTTTGTATCACTGCAGTCACACACTGTTCAGTGCAAAACTTGGGTGTTTATTTTTCTTGTCCAGTTTGTTGGTTTCTGTTTTCAGTTGGCTAGCACTGTACTCACTAATGCAACCCTCAGCTTGCCTCGAAGTGTTGAAAATTCCACTCATGATGGTAAGCCATATGAGGTGGTCTGTTAATTTCTTTTGTTTGAAGTGCCTCCCAGGAGCTTTCTGAGTGTCCGGTCTTCTTGGATGTCCCTGACATGGAGGCAGCTTACCAGACTCACCCTGAGAGGCTGTATTTTCCATTCTCATACCTTCTTCCTTGTCTTACACCTTTGCTTTCCACAATTATTTTTTGTCTTTTTGTGGCTCTGGGGATTGAACCCAGAATTTAGGGCCTTGTGCATGCTGGGCAAGCACTCTGCCATGAGTCACATCCCCAGCTCCACAAGACATTTTTAAGAAAGAGTATAAAAACTCGTGTTGAGACCTTATGGGTGGTGTGGATATGACTTTATTCTTTCCTGAACTCAGTGAGTTACTGGCCTTGCTGGTTATAGGATTCTGTGTTGCACATCATTTTCCCTCTGAGTTTTAAAAGCCACTCACTACTGTCTTCTGCCTTCCTGTGATGCTGCATGAAGCCTCTGTGCTTGGGTGAAGCCTGTCTCACATTCCGGATGCTTGTTGGATCCTCTATGCATTGTGTTGTGCTCTGGTGAGTGTTCTCTTATTTACACTGTAGTTTTATAAAAGCAAGTTTTCTTGAATTATTTTGCTGATGATTTCATAGTTCTGTGTTCTTTGTAGAATTCCTAATGATTAGATAGCATAGCCTGGACTGAAAGTCTCTTATATTTTAATCCCTTTCCATTTTTCTTTTATATGCTTCATTTTAAGGGAGTTTCCATTCCACAATTCTTCAATTCTGCAATCCTAACTTAAATTTCCAAGACCTTCCAGTCTCACCTCCTTCCCCTTTCTTCCCTCACAAACAGGATGCCCTGTTCTTACTTCATTGGTGTACCTCCTGTTGGCAGCTCTCTGGGGACACTGTGTGTGCTTGAGAACTTGCTTTCTTCCACGGTCTGTGTGGTTGTCTGGTCTCTGCGTCTTCGCTGTGATTCTGTCTCTGGTTATCCTTGGACTCCTGTTTATGTGTGAGATGGAGGCACGGAGAGTGAACGTGTGCGGTAAACCTTGGGGTGGGCTCCTAGTCCAAGTGCTTCACTTGTTTTTAGATGATTTGATCTCTCCAGTGACCCCTGTAGTAACAATTACATGTCCACTGTACACAGTGCTTGTCAGACCTGGGATTTGAACCCAGGCAGCTGGACACCATCCTTGCTTCCTTTTAGCCTTTATGCTGGCCTGTCCTTCAATGAAGTCAGGAGCTAAAGGGAAACTCTGTGTCTGGCTAATCTGATCTCACCTTCCAGTGCAGCTAGTGGAGTAAACCTGTGTTCTGCTGGGGGAGGAGCTGCAAGTGACTAGCTGTATGGGTTTGGGGAGGGGATTGAGGTGCAGCCCCGACTCTGGTTGGATTTTGAGTCTCACCTTTGACCAACTACTAGTGGCCCATTCTGGAGCCTTCTGTGGATAGCATGAGGGAAATGGGCTGAGCCTGCCCTTCTCATGGGTATCAGTCCATCCTCCCTGCCTTCGCTCACACTTTTCTCCTGTACCTTGTTTGTTCTGTAAACCTTGTTTGTCTTTAGAGCAAACACAAGCATTTTAATGTAACATCTTTTTTTTTTTGTCATTTTAAAAGAAGACTTTTCAGTGGAAACTTGGATAAAATGTACGTTTTAAATGTTCTATTTGAAATTTCTGTCCAGTCCCTTCAGTCTGATTCAAAGGTCCCCTGATATTCCCAACTTGGAGTATGTCCTGATAATCCCAACTAGATAGGTCCCCTCTGAAGTCATTTCCCCCACACTGGGCAGTGTTCTCAAGAGTTTTCACGTTGTTTGATATTTGTGTGCTTTCCCTTGGATGTGTGCGTTCCTCCACACCACACCAGCTTCTCAAAGACCTTGATTGACATCCGTGGAGTGACTCCAGAGAGTGTGCTGTACTGTCTGTGTACATGTTTTACTTTCTGGTCTTTTTTTCTCAAACCATACTTTAAAAGTACCATCATTCTATTAAATACTGAGGATGGCAGAATAGGGAATTAAAATAATAAAGCAACAAGATAAGTTAATTCACATATAAGGAGTTCTGAGATTGTTGAACCTAGATATTACGAAAACCTTTAGTCCGAGTCCCTGAACTAATGGGATATAGCTCTGAATTAGAGTCTCATCCTTCTGTGACTTGGGTATTACGTGGTGTTGGCACATCCTGGTAATCACTAGTTCTGATGCTGTAACACAAAATTTAAACACAAAAATGCTTTATAAAGCCTTATCATGACACTTTTAGATAAAACCAAGGTTTGAATGTATTCAAGTGACAGAATCCATCAAGAACCTCTGTGCTATTTCCTTCTTAAGTATTACTTTTTTACCTTTGTATGTTGTAAATTGATTTTCTTTTTGTCTGTTTGTGTATTGTGGGCTGCTTGTTTGCATGTTCATGTGTGTGTAAGGGGTGTGGAGTCCCAAAGTAAATGTTGGGCATCGTTTTTTGATCACTGATTTTTGAGGCAGGCTCTCTTGCTGAAGCCAGAGCTAGTCTATCTAGCCACCTTGCCCCAGGATTCCCTCTCTCTACCTCCCGAGTGCTGGGATTACAAAAGGAGTTTTACATCTGCCTGGTTTTTATGTGAATTCTGGGGGTCTAAACAATGGTTCATATACTTGTGTGGCGAATGCTTTATCTACTGAGCTGTTTCTCAGGCCACTGTAAAATTGAGTTTTAAAAACCAGTGCTGTTTACACCTTTAATTCCAGGACTCAGGAGGCAGAGGCAGGCAAATCTCTGTGCATTTGAAGACAGCTTGGTCTACATAGCAAGTTCTAGGCCAGTCAGGGCTACATAGTGAGACCCTGTTTCTAAAAAACACACATACACACAATCAGCAGCAAAAAAACATCTGTTGTTTTTCTTCTCTTAAATTTTCAAAAGGAAACTATCATGAGGTTTGAATCTAAATTATTTGGAGAAAGGCGCTGGCTTTAAAATAGCATTTCTGTAGCACCATATCTTAAGATATCTAGGACACATTTATTTACTCTTAAATAAAACATGTGACCAGCTTTTTGACGATGTAGAAGAGGAACTCTGTCCTGTCTTCTTTGGTGTGTAGGAATTGCTGGAGCCTAGAGCATCAGTGGTCACCATTCTGCTGTTTTGCACAGCTCAATCAGAACTTAGGAATCTGCTTCCTTACCGCAGGCGAACATGCTGTATGCTCATGTTGTTGACTCACTGGCACCCTTCCCGTCCTGTGTCAGGATGTGCCTTGTGAAAACACAGGAGCATTAACTCTGAAAGCTCCACAGTCTTTAGAAGTGAACACCAGAGTCTGATGGCATTCATAGACGCTAAAAATATTTTGTAATTGGCTCCGGAAGTTGTGGTGCCGATGTGAAAGGACAGTTGTGGTGTTTACACTTTAACTGTTAATTATTAGGATGCATTGTCGTCTTCTCCCATAGTTCCTTCCTGACAGATGTAATTGGAGGAGGATTTTCCTCACTTGAGACATGGTTAATGTGACGTCATTTCAGACTAACTGCCATCAACAGTTCTTAGAAGTCTGGTGCTGCATATACATGACTAGCTTAGCTTTAACTTCTAAATTTATAAAAAGAAATACATCTTTTGAGAAATGTCATCAGACTGTGAGGCTGTGAGCAAATGGTGGCAGTAGTGCTGTCTCCTCTGTGATAGAAGCTCTAGTAACTCAGTGCTATTTATAAAATTATCTTATTCCCATCCACATACATTCCTTGTACTGTCTACTTTTTGTGAAAATGAGTTTGTTTGGCCTAGTGACAACAATCTGTGATTAGTGTATTTCTTTGCTGTTACTTTTTGAAGTGGATGGAGTTTTCTTGATGGAGTTGTTGGTCAGTGTTTCTCAAGAAGCTGAGCATGGCTGCTGGTGACCTGGAGACAAGGCCTGCTGGGCTTCACATGGTGCTTAGCTTCTGCTTTCCTGTTCTCAGTTGTAGGGAGAGAACATTTAACGTAGGTAACGATTGCTCCTTTGCCTTTTCAGGCATTTTCCTTCCTTTCTGTTGTGAGCCAAAGCCTCAGCTTTAGTTTTGAGGCCTAGGTGCTAAGGCTTGAACCTTGACCCCTCTGTAGTGTATTTAGGAAGAAGCACAGTATACACTATGCTGCAGCTTCTCTCTCTCCCACTCGAGAGTGAAGGTGTGAAGGATCCTGGATATTCTCATGTTTTCTGCCCTGTCTCGTGAACACACGACTTGATTTACCTTGATCAGCCCAGTAACTCGCTCCACATTTTTCCAGAAGTGCAAAGCAGTTTCAGCTAAAAATACACATATCAAATGCTCCAGAAGTCGTGGCCACAGCTCAAAAATGCTGATCAATTTTGAAAATCTAACTCAGCCCGGCCATGAAACCGAGGGAAGAACCTTTGTGGTGGGGACAGATTTCCAAAAATTCACCACAGTCCTGTTCTTAACTGGAGTTTGTGCTGATGCTGCCAGACAGCTGAGGAGTAGACTCGGAAAGCAGGAAGCATTACTGATGGGGCCTAGCGCCACTTTGGGAAAAGCAAATTAAAATGTAAAAGAATATTTTTCCACTCCTAGAGTCTCAACAGAAAATGGCAAAATACATGGTTACTGAAAAAGTTCCAGAAATTGCTAATTTTGCCAGAAAGTAAAAACCAATTACCAGCTGTTTTTTTAAGTGATAAAAAAATGCACACATACAGTCTAAGAAGGCCTTTCATAATCCAAATGAAACAGCTTTAGTTTACAACTCAGAGTGTGTATTCCTTTAAGTCCCAGGGGTGCTTTGATGCAGGTGACTCATCTCTGTTGTTCTGTTTTTCAGGTGCTGCCTAAAGAATGGAGGATGATGACTTTGGTGGCTTTGAGGTACGTATCCTCTGTTTTTTAACTTTGGGTAACAGCAAACTATTACAAAAATGTGTTTACTTTCATTGTTTTCTTGATCTATTCTTTGTGTGTGTGCTGCATGTTCTCAAGTGTCTAGAGCCCAGAGAACGACCGCTTATGTGTCTTATTTGGTCCTGTTCACTTTGTTTTTTTGGACAGGGTCTTTCACTGGCCTGGAACTTGTCAAGTAGACTATACAGGCTGGCTAGCAAGTCTCAGGGATCGGCTTTCCGAGCACTGGGATTACAAATGCATGCCACCATGCCCAGATTTTTTAAAAATGGGTCCTGAGGAAGAAATTCTGGTTCTGTATTTGCAAGGCAAACAGTTTACCATCTGAGCTCTTACCTCTACCCTCATGATCCATTCTGAACCTTTTTTTTTTTTTTTTTTTTTGATGTAACTCTGAGACAGAGATTGAAAACAAGGAGAATTAAGAGGCATCATCCACCCAGACACTGAGGTGGGTTGTCGCTGAAGCATTGATCTTGCCATAGGAATGGTTTAAATCAGGGTAATTAATGAGGCTGGTGGAGCATCAGGAAGAACTCAGACTGTCAGAAGAGGATGGGGACACGTCTGTCAGAATGGGAGTCAGAGCCTGTCACAGCCCTGTTCGCACCTGTAATGAGTGGATTTCCTGTGTGAGACACACAGATGTCCAGGGGGCTGATCATGCTGTGCTGTTCCGTTGCTCTCTCAGGTTTTGGTGGAACATTTGTGAGTAGGTGTTGTTAGCTGAAAATATAGTGTCTTTTCCTTGGTCCTTTTCAGTGTGTGTTCATTTTATTGGAATATTTTATAACCCAGTTATTTTTACAGAACCAGTGTAGTCTTGCAGGAAAATCTCTGGATTAAGAGAAATGCAGGGCTCAAGTCTTGGAACCATCCACTGCGCACGCTCAGGGGACTTTCTTTCTTTCTTTCTTTCTTTCTTTCTTTCTTTCTTTCTTTCTTTCTTTCTTTCTTTCTTTCCTCTCTCTCTCTCTCTTTCTGTCTTTCTTTCTTTCTTTTCCTTCCTTCCTTCCTTCCTTCCTTCCTTCCTTCCTTCCTTCCTGTCTTTCTTTCTTTCTTTCTTTCTTTCTTTCTTTCTTTCTTTCTTTCTTTCTTTCTTTCTTTCTTTCTTTCTTTCTTTCTTTCTGTTGTTCACCTAGTTTGGATTTGGTAAAAAGAAAACTGTAAAAGTTAGGGAGTGTAATTAATGTTAGTAAGAGAAGTGGGGCATTATTCAAGGAAGAATAATGTAGTTCTTTTCAGCAGCAGGTCATTTTCTATCCGTCTTTCATAGCTGCCAGTGTGTAGGCAATCAGTGTAGACATATGTGTTCTCCACGTGCAGGCAAGTACTATAGACACACATGTTCTCCATGTGCAGGCAAGTACTTAGACACACATGTTCTCCATGTGCAGGCAAGTACTTAGACACACATGTTCTCCATGTGCAGGCAAGTACTTAGACACACATGTTCTCCATATGCAGGCAAGTACTATAGACACACATGTTCTCATGTGCAGGCAGCCAGTGTAGACATGCATGTTCTCATGTGCAGGCAGCCAGTGTAGACATGCATGCATTCCATGTCTCATCCCAAACTGCCTTTCAAAAAGCTCATTTGAGTGTTTCATACTTTTGTTTAATAGGTTATGTTTTTGAATCTTATTCATGTTAAATGGAACATTTAAAAATTTGTTAAAATTCCATTGATATTGAGGACACGGTGTGTTTCATACTATCCTGTAGCTTGCCTTGGTGCTTGGAATCTGTTATTTGAGGGCCCCATCCAAGCATGTTTTTGTGTCTAAAGCATAGTAGACCCACAGAAAGGCCACAGTTGGTCGTTGCTCTCACAGGTGACGACTGAATTCAGTCTCTTCAGTGTGTCAGTCCTCTCAACACCAGAGGCAGCGTTAACTAGTGTGGTTTCGTTGTCTTCACCTGGTGTCTTACTTCTCAGTCCTGCTGTGGAAGAGTGGAAGGACTTTTCCTATGTTTCAGTACAGTGTACTAACTGTCACAGCCAGTGGACAGCGCGGCCTTGTCCTCTGCTCTCTGCAGACTGTGTCCTTTGCCGCCTGAGCTGCCTGGCAACTCAGTGCAGAATGGAAATCAAAATTATGAAACCATGGCTCTGACTTCAGTCATAATCTTGCTTTAAGGGTTATCTGAGAGACAGAACACTTTGTGCTCTCTCTGTAAACCTTGTCTTAAGTAGCTTCCCCCAAGCAGGAGAGCACAGTCATTGAAAATGCTGACTTTTGTAATTCTTTAGTGTTTAGTGCTCAGGAGACCAGAGTAGATTGTTCAGGAAGACAAGCTCACCTGCTCTTTCAGAGTCTCTAAGTCTTACGCTAATTTAAATGATCTTTTTAAATAAAAGATTTGCTCAGTCTGTTTTTAAGGAAATTTTTACATGGGTGGATAAATGTGGTGAGTTAAAATAGAATAGTTGATGTAAAGTTCACAAGTGAAAACATGATGAAAGATACTTGAAACGAACATTTCATTGGCATCAGGTTGTTGGAATATGGAAGGAAATCTTTACCTGGGAACCGGGGCCTGGGCACTGTAGGTGGGGCCAGTGCAGGGGTGGAACAGGGAGGTGTTCAGAGAGAGTGAGTGAGTTGGCGTGTCGCAGGAGTGTGCCTGTGGGGCCGAGTGTGTGATTCCTGATTAAAAAGTACAGCTCTTCAGGGTTTTTCGGATGGTCTTGCCTTGTCTTACAGGCCGCAGAGACCTTTGATGGTGAACACAGTGGAAACCAAGCAATGTCCCCTGCTGTCCCCTGGGCCACCTTTCCTGCAGGTACTACCTCCTGGTCATGGGATTCTTTTTTCTTGCATTTAAAGATTTTTTTTTTGCTACTTTTAAAACCTATTTCTCATTTTTTTTTTTGCTCTTTTTCTGATCTGAAAATGTAGTGTCCTAGATCCAAATTTTCTTTCTTACAAAGTATGAATCATATTGTACATTCAATGCTAGCTTGGAGGCTGGTTGTAAAAGGAGATTAGGAACACTGAACAAACCTTAAGTACAACATACATTGTTCAAATTTACCTTGGTTTACGAAGGTGTTGAGAAGTTTCCTGGGTCGTCTGTGCATGGCAGACTCCATTTTACATCTTAATTTATGATGTCCATTACTATTCAAATATAGTAGTTTTTTTATAGTAAAACCATTCAAAAGTATTACAAATTAACAATAACAGTTGGCCCATACATATTTTCAAAAAGTGTTCAATATCCTACCCATCTTGAAATGCACATAAAATCCACTCTGAAACCCCCAGTTACACTGTCAGAATGCTTATGATATAGAAAACAGTGGTGGGGATGCTGGAGGGGACAGAGGAAAGAGGAACTCTTAGCTACTGCTTGTGGGAACACAAACTAGTGCAGATACTCCTGAAGTCAGTTTGAAGGTTTCTCAGAAAGTAACAGTGGGACCACCATATTCCCCAGCTCTGCCACTCCTGGAGATAAGCCTTAAGGGCTCAGTGTCTCACTGTAGAGATCCATACATCCATATTCAATGCTGCTCTTCTCACCAGAACAAGGGGAAGACATTGTGTAATGATGTGAAGACGTTGTAAGATGCTGTAGCTTTGTGTCTTAGTTTGGATGCTCACAGTGAGGGAATGGAAGTGGAAGGAGACCCCCAATTCTGTGAGGTGAGGAAGAGAAGCTTCTTCCGTGTCTGGATGTGAGATGCCGTCACCAAGAAGCTCTTGTCCCTGGTGTCAGAGGCTGTATGTAGGCTGATGAGCCAGCAACTTCTCTCATCCCTCTTCTCTCTCTTTCCCTCACTTCCCTGGAAAAAACTCAGATCTGAAGATGGTGTTCTTCTGATTTCCTTATTGGTTTGCAGAAATGACATTAGCAGGCCTGGCTAAAGGCTGACCTTGAAGCTGTGGCTTTCAGCTTCTCTTTTACACAGCTGCTGCTGGATGCAGGTAGATGCAGGCTACAGGATTTATCCACCTTCGTGGAGGTCATTCCCAGGAGGGTGACGTGAGTGGGTTACTAGGCATGACAGTCCCTTCTACACCATACCCGTCTATCATCTATATAGAAAAAAATGTTTTCATGGATATATCTTAGAAAATAACTTAAACATTTGGTTTAAGTTTTAAGTATTTTGGGGAAGATGGGAAGGTTCGTTTTCAGGGTCAAGATAAGACTTTTGTTAAGTAGTGAGTATAAGAGGTTTGTTTTCCTAGTGAGTGCACAGCTTCAAGACAGGGCTAGATGACAGGGCTAGATGACAGTTTATCCCACTGGGGATAATTTATGTCTCTCTTTAAATGTCTGTTTATAGCCTGCAGTTCTTTGGGGGTTCCAGGACCTTAAGCTGTGTCACTGACGGGCAGTACTGATGGTGGATGGATGAGTGGCAGGATCCGCACCACACCGCCCTGCACACACCCTCTGCCCCCATCCTCCTCCTCACGTGCAGCCTCTGACCATCTTGGTTACTTCTCTTGTGATCAGGTAGCTGATAAGAAACAACCTAAGGGAGGAGGGCTTATTTTTGTCCATGATTTGAGGGGATCCAGTCTGTCAGCTGTCATGGTGCACCCGTAGGCAGGAAGTGGAGAACAGTGGATGCTGGTGTCCAGCTCATTTTCTCATGTATTCAGTCTTGAATACATGAGAAACCGTGAGGTGCTGCCATTCTATCCTGCCCTGTCCTATACACAGGGTGCGTTTTCCTTCCTTGGTTGGACCTTTCTGGAAACTTTCTCACCCAGAAATGTACCTCCTCAGTGATTCTAAATCTAGTCAGGTTGACAGTGAAATTGACTGTCACGTAACCTGAAATGCACAGTGACACCCATGTTATGGGAATTGGAGAATGTAATGGAAGATGGTGAGCATGAAACCACGGCCCCTTCTCACCGCAGCACACGGCGTTGAAGTGATTACTGCCTTCTAGTGAGAGCTGGCCGAGGAGAAGAGCTGCCTGCCTTGAGGCCATTTTCTAGCTGTGCTGTGATCAGCACCTGAAGCTCTATCATGGTGTCCTTTTGTTCCACTTGCTTGGTGCTTCATGTCTCCTAATTCATATTTAAAACCGTGATGAAGTTTGCCGTCTTCGTTATTTTAATGTATAGGTTATACTGTACCTTGTATAGCTGAAACTTCATTCTGTTAAATACCTGTGACCTCCCCTCCCCCTCCCCGTCACTCCTGGCAGCAACTGTCTTGCTTTGTCTCTGAGTTTGAACCCTCGGGTGTATGCATGGGTGATTTCAGACTGCAGTTCTGTGACTGGCTTAGAGCAGTCAGAACAACCCCTCAAGTTTCATTCATGCTGTGTCATCTGTCCCAGTTTCCTTCTCTGTTAATCCTAATATCCCATTTTTTATTCATTCATTATAGACACTTGGGTTCCTTTTACCTCTGGGTATTTTGCATAGTGACACTGTGAGGATGGTTGTTATGTGATCTTTAACTATAATCTTGTGTATGACTCCTCTTTATATGCCTGTTTTAGTCTTTTTATGGCAGGAAATTGGTTTGAATTCTTTGGAAGGTAGTGATACCTTGAGCCAGTGCTCTGTGATTCTTGATGACTGGTGAGTAGATTTACTTGTAGTTATCTCTTCTTGGTTATTTTCAATCCAAGGCGAATAATTAAATAGCCTTAGTGATAAGGTATAAGAGCAGAAAACTAAACTTTGCTTCAAAAATATATCAACCTTGGAAACCTTCAGTACTTGCTAAGAGCTGGATGTTTCTGTGTCTGAGTCAGATGTTCTGATGACTTCCATGGATGTATAGAAGTGATGTATGGAAGATGTATGACCTGGAAGTGATGCTCCAGTCACAAGGCCTGTGACCTGGCTCAGGGAGTAACACACCTGTCTCCTGATACCTCAGTTCAACCTCTGGAGCCCGTGGCAGAAATAGTCCCCTGACTTCAGGGGTGCGATGGCAGGCATCTGCCTGCATGCACATGGTGCACAATGGCTCTTATTTTTAAAGAGGCCACAGATGCTTGGAAGCACAGAGCAGTTACTGTGCTGATCTCCTATCTCCTGGCTTCTCCTGTATGACAGAAATAGTGCATGTTCGATCACGTTTTAATTTACTGCAGGTCCAGGAGCAATAATGGTGGCATCGTCTCCTGTGTTTCGTTGGTCATTTATTTTCCTAACACTTTTTCTGAAGGAAAACCATTTCAGGACTTGTGTGGTTGATAATTCAACAACATTCAACATGGTTGCTCATAAGAGTATAGGAAAGTAACAATTTTTTTTTACTAAGAAATCTTATTTATGAAATTGCAAAATAATTATTTTTTTAATGTCTATAAAAGGAGCACTGTTCTCCTTTCATTTCCCTGAAATTAATGATTGCTGATAGAATGCACATGTAAACACTTGCGCATGTGAGTGTGAAAGCTTATGTATATATGGAGACCCTGGGGATGTGGGCATGTGGAATCTACCTTGACTGCTCCTGTGTGGTGATGTCTTCTCCGTACTGCTTTACCCTTCCACGCTGGTTGTGCTCCCCTCTCCCCTCTGCCCCTCCCCTCCCCTGCACCCCTTTCCTGTGTTCTTGTGACAGAAAGAAGGACTCGTCTGTACTTGACTTGCTCAGTTCTTAGTACTTCATTGTCTTGGTTTGGCATCTGTATGCATTTTTTTTTTAAATTTCTTTATTGTGCCTCTTTTCGTAGCAGACCCAGAGCTTCAGAATTCATGGAATTTATTTAGGTTGTTTCTGTGTTCACCGTTGATTCATTCCTTTGCCACAGATTCAGAAGGCTCTCGCAGTGTCAGGCTCACAGCTCTGTGCATTGCGGACTTCATTTTCACTGACTGACTGTGGAAGCTGTTGCCTGGGAGGACAGAGTGTTTCCCATGATGCGTTTTTGTGTTGGCAGACCTTCTACCCCTAATCTTAGTTAGCTTCAAGTCTTTGATAGCAGTTCCTACAGTGAACACTAGGTCGGGACGTGTTATGAAGCCATTTTGTACAATGTGGGTGGCACAGTTTTAAGAGGCAAAAGATTGTTCGGTTTTTGCTTTTGACCGTCAAATGTAAGTTGTGTAGAAGGCGAGGTGGGAGGCACAAACCTTGAATACTGTCCTTTCCAATAATGCTTCTGAGTTCCTTGCAGCTCTGCACAGACCACATTAGAATTCAGTGACCATCAAAGGGAAAAACAAGTGTTCCAGATAGATACTTTAATCCAAATTAGCTCCTTCAAAACAGCTTATAAAGAGGGCAGACTAAACTGTCTGTCACAAGCCGGCCCTGCAGAAGGAATAATGGGAACTGGACCAGCAGATGCTGAAGCAAGTGACTTAGATGTGGTTCCTTCGCATCTGGAGCTATTTGCATACAAAGCCAACAGGAAAGTTCAAACATTCCTCTCAAGACCTTGGCAGAGGGGAACCTGGAAGACAGATGCCTTTTTGATTTCATGGTTCTGTCTTTCCGTTCTCCACTCTCCTGGCCGGAAAGCCTAGGACAGCAACTCGGTCGTTTTATTAATCCCCGCTCCTCTCTTCACTGGCCCTGCTTTTCCAGGGGATCTGTGTTATGCATCTCAAGGGCTCAAGACCTGAGTCTACACATTTTTTTGTATATTTTTTGTGTGCGGTTTGCATGTTTGTACGTGGTAGTAAAAAGCACTAGATTCATTGGTCTGATCTGCATCTGTGGTAGGATTGGAAAGTGACCCGTTGCTTGTTCACATACCTGTGTCTTACAGGCAGTGTAACCGGCCTGGCAGAGGGCATTTTAAAGAGACTCTGTGTCTCAGTCTGACTAAGAGACCAGTGAAGTAA